TCCCAATTAATACTCAGAAAGCACAATTTAGATACATCAGCATAACAAGCACCATATGCCTGTTGAGCCATCAAGGCTGTAGGTACTCCTTAGCCACTGCCAATCCCAAGGGAAGGGATGTGTGCTGAAAACTCCTTCCTTAAGATTCATGGTGAACTAGAATTCCTTACAAAGGGAAGACAGAAATACACACAAGGTGAGCAGCATAGGCACAACACACTCACCTGTTACCCTACACAGCCTTACTGTGACCTAAGAGGCAACCAAGAGGAGACGAGTTAAACCCTGCTAAAACTATAGCAACGTTCTGCAGAAACCTGCATCTTACAAAACTCCTCAAGCCTTAAGAATGGGAAATTTAAAGCAGACCTTAACTTTGACAAGTGACCTTTTAAAGATGGGTTTATTCTTTGCTATTGTAAAGCAAGATTAGGAATTGCTCAGAGGCAGTCAGCTTGCACGATCACCATTTCTTGCAGAGAAATTGCAGCTTCTATTACGATTACTGATACATGAACTGGATGATCTTTAAGGTCCCTTCCAACCCAAACCATTCTAGAACACTTTGATTCTAATATATGGATCTTTTAAGAAAGCACATCATCTAATAACCTAACCAAAACTATTTCTCATAGGTTCTCCTGACCTGGTGCACTCAAGCTTCCAGATGGGTTTTAGAATGCATCAGGAGCACCACATATCAAACCAAACACAGAACCACAGAATCACTGAAGTTGGAAAACACCTCTAAGATCATCCAGTCCACCCCCACCACGTCCACTGCCCACATCCCTCAGCGTCACATCTCCATGGTTCCTGAACACCTCCAGGGACAGTGACTCCAACATATCCCCGGGCAACCAAGTGCTGCTGCAACCACCAGTGTTTGAGATTTCTTTCCCCTCAGACAGGCTAACAGGTCTCAAAACTGGAGATGTAACCCAGCCTCAAAGAGCAGTTACTTAAAATCTGCATCCTCTCTTTCAGAGAAGGCCCTCAAGTAGCTGGATCCATCTGCTTCCAGCCTGCCAGAGCATCAGTGTGGCTGTTAGGATGCCTACAGCAGATCTCCAGGGACACAATGAAAATATCTGTGACAGAGGGAAGCACTGCTGCTTGTTCCCCAGCCCAGCTGAGGGTGCAAACACAAATCACAGAACCAGTAAGACCCACTGGGTCTTTTCCAAGAGGCAAAAGCAATGCATGACAAACCCGAGCAGAGAGGCACTTACAGTGTTGGCCAACATCAGAAGCTGCAGCTGTTCCACAAAGAACCCAACACAGCCAGCTCTGTTCTGGGTGTCAGTGGCTGATGCACGTGGAAAATTAGTCTTGGTTAATGGTCCTGCTATGCAAACAGTTCTTAAGCCTGTTGTATACCCAAATACCATTACATAAATACCAGGTATACAAGATGCTCACGTTGCAGAGAGGCTCCAGCAGTTTTATTCCTTCTTACCTTGCCTCCAGGAACATGACTTACAAGGAGATGGAACATCAATAAAAAAAACAGGACGCCGTTAAAACCAGCATTTGACAAATATTTCCTGTGCATTTTCAATACACTGAGAGAAGCCAAGCTTAAAGCTGCAGTGCAAGGGGCTGCATGGGAGCGCAGTCCAGATGGACCTTTCTGAGTCCTCCTGCAGCCCCAGTCACTAATTAAAAGTCAGATCCTGGCTCAGAGAAGAGGTGCTCAGCCCCCAGGGTTAAGTGGTGAGTCACAGTTGCAGTTAAATATGCCCAGCACCTCTAGTGACTCACAGGTCAGGTGAGAGGAACAAAATGCTGGGAAGAAGTTATTTTCATTTCCATGTGGATTTTACACCTTCATGGTTCGTGTTTTCATTGTCCTCACCAAAGAGCAAAGGCAGATATAGTCTCTCCTCATCCCATGGCCAGCTTGCTTCTGAAGCACACCATAGCACCTTGAGTAAAGGCTTCTCTCTGAATAGTCTAGAAAGTGTTCACTGCCTCAATGGGAAGCTACTGCAGAAATATCAGCAACGCTTTCTCAAGGAATTTGTTTCCTTCCTCCTCTTGGAACAGATTCTCTCTGAAAGCCTCACAGATTCTCCGTTTATCGTTTAGAAATTACATTTTTGGTTGACCAGTTCTTGTACATAAATAAGATCACTTCTGTGCTCATCCATTACAAAAAGAAAAGAAGAAAAAAAAAAAAACTAAGCTCACTTCAGGTCAATTTATGAACAAAAAAGATCTTTCTACTGTTTTATAAATACGGATGTGGAGTTCTTTACATCTCCCAAGTCAGCTGTCCCAGTCTACCCATAAACAGTTTAAAGCAGCAACCTTGCTTAGTGTTGTGAGCCACTCCACGAAGGTTCTGATTTCTGCACTCAGAGTTTGAGGTTTATTTATCCCTCAGCAGCTGGCTGCAGCCTCATTACCCTGAAACAGCTCCCTCCCTATGTGCATTGCTGGCTTTCCAGCTGTGGGGCTTACCACGTGGCCTGACTGACTGTAAGACTCCAGATCTGCAAGCAAGCCAGGAGCCAGCTGAGATTGTTTGCAGGAGTCCACAGGCCAACACAATCTGAGGACTTATTTCTTCAGTCGGACATGCAGTGCTGGCTTTGTGAGGAGCAGAAGATACCTCCAGGCAGGCTGCAGTCACAGTGCTGAAGCCACACGGGGTCACATCCCTTTTATCTGATTACCTGGGACTGCATGCTGCAGTAGGGTGGTGAAGACAAAGTATTCTACGAAGAAAAACTCAAAATTACGTCAAGAGGATGAGTCCTTTGATGCTGCACAATTCAGTAAAGGTCAGCTTACCACGGTCACTGGAAAGACAGCATTTGATGTGGAACCAGAGCACGAGTTTAGGACAAGTAAGAAATGAGTGGACTGAAGGGAAAACAGTTTACAACTGGGGGCACTGAAGCCCTTATAGGTAGATGATGGTTTGATCAAAGGTCATGATTAAAAATGCTTCTAGAAGAACCAACCTGGCTGAAGGTCTTTTTCCCATGCAGGAGATCACTGTATAAAATCTGAAAATAATATAATATCTGAAAATTTTGAAGAAGAGGAAAAACTTCAAGGTTGCCATACTCCCATTAAAAAGAAGGGGTGAGAGACCAGATCCCAGGTCACAGGCAAATAAACCAACAAAAAATATCACCAATATGGCTTCTATTAATGGAAGCTGTGAGGAGAAGGGCTGAACCCTCAACTACAAAGAGAAACATGCAAAGTTGCATTTATCTATTCCAAGTGTCATTGACCATCACAAAACAGCACCGCAGTGCCACAGTACAACAGCTGTATGTAAGAAGCTTAAAAAGGTCTGATTCATCCCACACGTGATTTTCGTGCCTCTACAATACTTATGAAATGCAACTTGAGTAACTCCCACATACTTCCATTTACTGAGCATTTAACATAAATTTTATGTTAAAATATATATATATAGCTTTATTTATCTGCTGGAAAATAAGAAAACCCACATTGTTAGTGCAGGTTTTCTCACGTTGCTCACTCTGTGTACTTGCAGGGCAGCACACTGACTTCAGAGTCGTTTTGTTTTTACATGCACCTAAAATTACTTGGTGACACAGCCTGTGTCATAATTAGTTTCCTCAGTCATCTGCAAAGCAAAGGACAGACTACCCCAAAAGCAATTTCATCTCCAGTAATATTAGTGAGGCCCCTGCAGCAGAAAGCACTGAATAACCACGTCCTGATGTACACAAAGGCATGGCACCAAACTGAACAGCCAGCTTGCAAACTCCTCCCCTCTCCCATAATGAGCTGCTCACAATCAGAGCAAAAGAACGCAGTTTGTTTCCCAACCTGTTAGTGATTTTATGGCTTTGATTGCTCCTCTTGAAAGAGCAGCACAGCATTTTTTGTCTGGTCACTGAATGAGAAAATAACTCAGATACGAATAATGGAAGAAAAATCAGAGGAAGTTTTTCACACTCAGAGGGTGGTGAGGCACTGGAACAGGTTGCCCAAGGAGGCTGTGGATGCCCCATCCCTGCAGGCATTCAAGGCCAGGCTGGATGTGGCTCTGGGCAGCCTGGTCTGCTGGTTGGCGACCCTGCACACAGCAGGGGGTTGGAACCAGATGATCACTGTGGTCCTTGTTAACCCAGGCCATTCTATGATGATGAAAAAAATAAAAGAGCAGAAGCATTTGCTGCCCTCCAGAGGAAAACCAAATGAAATTACAGCTTTGAAATATGAAGGCAGACATGAGGCCAGACAAAGGCTAGTCCTAACCAGTTTTAAAACTGATTGCTTCAGAAGCTAGCAGCGGTATCAAGGAAAAACCACTGCGCTGAGATATGACAACAAGGCAGTGAACAAACTCAGACAGACAGCAGCGACGAGCACCTGGTTTTACCAGCTCCAAAACATCATATCCTTCTCATTTCAATTCTCATTTCTACCCTGCAAAACGCAGTGAAAGTTGTGTATTTGACGAACCGAAGCACGCGTCCGTGAAACAGCCTCTGATTTTCATTTCATCTACTGTAAAATGAGAAGAACATCTCCCTGTCACTCAATCACTGCAAGGGTAACTGCGTTGGAGAGCGTGAGGGGCGCAGAGCTCCGGAGCAGTGACGCTCTCTGGGCTGAGTCATCCCTTACGGGAGCTGACGTCCGGCCTCCCTCCAAGCTGGGATCAGTTCCCCTTCCCGGTGAAAGGCAATAAATCCCATGGCAATGTGATTCGTCACAACTCCAAATCAAGGTGATGAGGCATAAAAGGCTGAAGTCCAGACGGAATGCCAGAAAATTAGAAAAAGCTGAGCACTTCCTACCTGAGAAAACAGATAAACCACAGCACTACGCAGGACGCGCAGCAATGCTGGAAGTTGAGCTATAAATATTCCGTGCCTAAATAAATATATTGGGATACATCTTGCCTGTCAAAAAAATGAGACCTAAATATTTGTATCCTCTGTTCTTACAGCAGCTCAAGAATATTTTCAGATAATTACATTCACAAAAACCAAAGTCCTTACTTGACAGCCTCTGCTACGTTATTGGAGGTGTGACCCGACAGTGCGTCGTGAAGGTTTCGGATGAAGTAATCCCTGTAGTCTTCAGGCAAGGCCATGAAAGTTCCACCCATCACAATGAACTCCACTTTATCCACGCTGTGACCCAACTGCTTCAGCTAGAAAAGAACCAGTGAAAAATGACCAGTTACTCAGCTGGACAACTGTCCTATCCCCTACCAATGACAAACCATTAATACATTTGTAAAGGCTTCTTAGAATCCCTCAAGAAACCCAGGGGTTGATTCTTCTTGTACAGTACAGACTCTGTGCCATGCAACAGACTTTCTTGACAAAGCAGAGTAATTTGAGCACAGCAGCTTGCCAGTGTACTTCTAAGTGTTCCAATTTGAAGCTGACTTCAATATGGCCATAGGAAGTTTCCTCACTTCTGCTTCACCCCACGTAGAATTGGCCTTGAAAGCTTGTGGGGGAAAAAGGAGACTGCACTGAATCCACAGCAAATTTTCCAATGATTTGGAGGTAAAGAGCAAATCAGAAGAAATGGAACAGGACTGAGAATCATAGGACTGAAAATCAGATCTTTTAATCCTCCAGTGAAGACAAAAGTAAAAAAAATCATTTTGGGAGGCACTTTTAGAAATATGTTCTACGTGTAAATAATGATCAAGAACTAGCAAGTGGGATAAAAACTCTGAAATATTGTTGTAATATGGTCTCCCAACAGTAATCAAGTGCTGTTCAAAAAAGAGGACACCTTAGGAGAGGTTCAAAATTTGTTAGTTATCTAATGGAAACAACAATGGTTAGACAACTAAGAGGTCTGAAAATAATTCCTCTATGGGGATCAACCAGAGAATCGTTTGACTTGAAAGGGACCTGCAGAGGTCATCTGGTCCAACCCTCCTGCAATGAGCAGGGACACCTACAGCTCCATCAGGCTGACTTAGATTTACAGAAAATGGAAAAGTTGAGGTTAAAAGGGACCTGTGAAGGTCACACAGCCCAACCTCTCTGCTCAAAGCAGCAATTTGTTTAGCACTGTGTTCAGACAGGCATCAAGGATCTCCAAGGACAGAGACTGCACAGCCTCTCCGGGTCCCTGTGACAGTGCTCCACCACCCACATAGCACATGAACACTTCATGCTCAGAGGGAGCCTCATGGCCTTCTCTGGGGAGCCCAGAATTGGACACAGCAAACATGACTTCAGCAGCGTTGAGGTGAGAGGCTGCATCCCTCCCTTGTCCTGCTGGCAGCACTTCCAATGCAGCCCTGGAGGCTGCTGGCCTTCTCTGCACCAGGGCACAGCACTGCTCACTTTCAGCTTGGTGCCCACCAGGACCTTTTCTACCATGCTACTTCCCAGCTGGGTGCCCTCAGTGCTGTGCTGTCTGCGCACTTGGTGACTGTGTGCTCTGTCCCAACATCTAGCTCATTCACAGAGAGGTCCAATACCACTGCCTCCACCATCACAGAGTCACAGAACCACAGAATGGCTTGGGTTAGAAGGGACCTTAAAGTCTATCCAGTCCCAAGAGCCTGCCTTGGGCAGCCCAGAACTACAGCCAGCCTGGTCTTGGGCACCTCCAAGGATGGGGCACTCACACTTCTCTGAGTGCTGGGGCCTCACTGTGGCAAATTTTCTCCTGATATCTAATCTAAATCTTCCCCAACCTCTATTGACAGCTGGGGTATATTGCTAGCAATTCCAGTTGGAAGAAGTGCTGCTCATCACAACCCATCCCATGCACCATTTGGGGCAATTCAAAGCATCGTTATCATTTTCATCCCAAACACAACATGCTCCCCTTTCACTGTAAAAATGTACCTGTTCCACTCTATGTCTTGTCTGGAGATAGGGGTCATACCGAGCCCGAATGGCCCTCATGGATGTAGGCTACAAAAACACAAAGATAATTAAAAAAAAAAAAAAGTTAATGGAATTAAAGACTGTTAAAGAAAAGAACAGACAATTTTTAGTATAGGAATGGATGCTTTACAGTTCATTTCAATTTCTCTTTATTCGCCCAACAGTTATCCAAGGACACTCCTCTAGAGCTCAGTTAAACACTCCTTAAGCTAAATACTTTCATTTGAAGCCCCTAACTTCCCTTCTGTATGACCAGCTGATGGAAGCCTATTAGCAATCCTCAAAGATCAGGTTCTAAAGAACCCTGCACATCATGCATTGGTTTGTTATTTCATATCACTTACATTAACAGCTCTAAACAATAAGGGCTCATTTAATCCTGCACAACTCCCACATGCTGATGGTACTAAACGAATGACTAAAACACATCCAAAACAACTTGAATTATGAAGCAGTTACATACATACAGGATTGTTCTGCTTTGTGCTAATGTTTAAGAAATGAATTTCAAGTCATTGAAAAATGAACAACCACTGGAAAAAAAAAATCATACTAAAAGGATGCTGCATCACCGGTTACCAAATTAACCCAGACAGCATTTTATCTCATTTTACAACTTCGTATCTGTGTAATGGCTGTGAGCCTTTTGTGTAGTCAGAATAACTTAGTCACAATGACATCTTCTGCTGTTACACTTTCAGCAGACAAAAGGAGAGAGCTATTTTGGTTTAGCTCACTAAACGTATTAGTGAGATATCACTGCAGACACAGAGACACATTCTAAGATCAGGATAATCTAAGGGCACAGCTGGAATTCCAGAGGCACTACCTCAACAAGTGGCTCTCTTCCAGAGCTTGACCTTTGGGTCCTGTAGGTTTGGCAGGACTGAAGGCAGGTCCAGTAACGCAGGATGCTCAGGTCACTGTCCAGTTAATGTCTGAGTACCATTAAGGACTGAGATGCCAAAACCTCCTGGATCCCTACTGCAGTGTTTGATGACCCTCTGTTAAAATATTCTTACGTTAAGTCACAATTTTCCATGTTCCCAGACATGCTTGTTGTCTCTCATCCTTCCAGTGGGCAGCTCCAACAAGGGATATGGCTCTGCCTGCTCTGTGCCCTTCCCTCAGACCCTTCCAGAGCCACAGGCAAAGATCTGTGTTTCTGCTGGACTGTTTAGTTAGGAAAAATCTGACACAGATTGATAACTCTTGTTGAAATGAATATTAGCTGTGATTCTACAAGCTGCATGCAGCAGTGCCCCAGGGGAGTCAGTAATGTCACCTTCAACTGCTCTTACTCACTCATCACCTACCACAGCTGGAAATTCAAGTTAACAGCTGTTCTCACACCAGCAGGTCCCACACAGCTGCAGTACAGCAGCAGCACTTGCCCTGCTCAGAGTCACAGGCTGTTCTATAGCATAGTACACACAGAACAGTATCAACAGAAGTGAGGCCAGGGAAAAAAAAAACCAACAACAACTGCTGCAATAACTAAGAAGTTCCAGTTTTGTAGCTCAGCTGTTTTAGACCTCTGCATTTACAAAGTCTGGTTTTTTTTTCTTATTCTTGAAACACAGGTAAATCTGTAGAAATGATGAGCAGCCTACCCCAAACTGAGAAAGAGAGTAGGCACAGCACTGTGGCAGACAGAAGTAATACCTCATATCCAGTGTAAGACTGCGTTGAATATTCAAAATCAGAATCAGGGCCACCTGGGCAGTATCTGCAAATATTAAGACAGCAAAAAACAGACATCAAACTCATGCAGATACAACAACTGTTATCCTTCTGAAGTATGATATACAATATAGAAGAGTGTATGCAAAACAGGCACTGCTCTGACAATCCCAACTCTCATTAGAAAGGCAGGGGAACACCAATGAGAATGAGGAGTCAAAACCAACTCAGACCTATCAAATGACTACGGCCACACAAAACAAGCTGGTAAAACTTAGTAGAAGCAAAGTGTGCAGTGAGCACAGCTCTGGAACATGGAATTATGTTAGGGAGCTGCACTACAGTTTTGGACAAATAGTTACAGATTATTCAATTTTTAAAAGAGCAGTTTTATAATCAGAAACAACTTGCCCAGAAAGGTGGTGGTACCCAATCCCTGCAGATACCCAGGATCAGGTTGGACCTGAGCACTGATGGAGCTGTGGGTGCCCCTGCTCACTGCAGGGACACTGCAGTGGGACAGATGGCCTTTAAAGGTCCCTTCCAACACAAACAGTTCTATGATTGGTATTAAATGACAACTGCTGTCTCCACAGGTTGATCTGAAACTGTTTGACAGAGCAAGAAAGACTTACAGCAATCACAGCATGACTGCTAGCAATGAGAGGACTGGTAGATGGCAGACAGTAATTAAAAGGAAAATAAATTTATTCTGAAGTATCCTCAGCTTTCTTTTGAGAGCTATGGAATTAATGGCCCATCTACAGTCATTGTGCAGTCAAACACAACCTGAGGCAGCAAGGCTGACAGTGCATGTACTGAACACAGCCAACAGACAGGTAACGGAGCTGTCAAAACGCCACCTCCATCAAACCAGAAATATGTAATTCAGAGCATAATGGATTCGTTTCCTTACTGCCTGCCCTGCAAACTCAACCCAAATCATCTGTCACCGTTATAAAATGAACGACCAAATTACCAGGGTCAAATTAATTTGCTGGTGAAATTTTGGCAATTCAACTGAAGAGATTTCATGTACGTCATTACCTGCAACATCTCAAACACAACGGTTGCTCATGTGAAAAAAGAAAAAATGAAGCCAGCTCGCTCTGTTAGGCAGCTGGTAGTGAGATACACTGACATCTCAGAAGTCACAAGTGGAAGAGAAAAGCAGTGTTTTTAAACAGATGAATTGATATGCTCAGGAAGAAAAAAACCCACAAAAAACAGATGAGACTTCAGGAGCACAGACTTGTAGGTCAAAAAACAGAGGCAACATATTTCAAGGTAAATTGAGCTTGGGTTCCTCAATTCAAATAAAACTCTGAAACTATTCCCTTAATACCACAAGCTCTTGGCAGATACAGGTCTTCCATCTGTGCTCTCATTTTGTTCCAGAGCCAAGCAATACCAGCATTGAGCAGGTTTGTTGGTAGACAACACCTGCACCTCCTCAGGTGGGTTTCAGCTCGACAGTTCTCAAACTTTTTAGATTATGCCTTTTTTCTTTTTTGTTGAGCCTTCTCCTATCTTGCTACACACCCACCCTACACACAAGCACAACACACCCACAGCATTATAACTTATATTGGGTCATTCACATATTCTTCTGATTCTTATATCCACAAAGGTGTGTATTTACTAAGTAGGGTTTGGCTAATGAAAGGTCTTCTGCTTAAGGAAAAATGGTAAACAGGTTGACCAGTAGTGTGACATCCAGCTATCAGCAATCTGCAACTCTGCACTTGTGCAGAAAGGAAATCTGTCTCTAAAACTATTGCTGCAATTTATACCAACTTATACAAAGCCACTGAGAAACGGTCCTCTCATAGGTCACCCAAGTCAGTCATACTTACACACATATGTTGCCTGTGAAGTTAATGTGTGGACACCTGTGTGGTTTGCACATCACAGCCACGACAGCAATCTGTAATGAGCAGAGAGAAATTATAGTAATTGCTTCTGAAGTTACAAAAATGAAGTGCATGATGATGGCTACGTAAACACGTGCATCTGCGAGATGCTATTTAAAGATGTTCTCTGCTCAGTCTGCCACCTAAAATATCTGCGCGTCAACTCTTGAGAAAAAGAAGATTACAAATGTATCAAGAAATAGGAAACCTATTATTAAGTACTTTCACAGTTCAGAATAAGCTGGTAGTGTATTCTGAAGACCCAGGTGTCCTATGAAATGTGATTAACAACCCTACTGAAAAGATATCCCAGTGTACATGCAGGTATTGAGCAGGACCACCAAGCACACAACTAACACAGTGCAAGGATGAGAGTGTGCCAATAGCACCACCTGCAAGATGAAAATGGGGGAAATGACAAGAAAGAAAAAGACAAAAGAAGGACAATAAAAATAGCTTCTTCCTTCCACCTCACTGAGATGAGCCTTTTTTTTTTTTTTTTGCAGGCTGATCTCACACAGCTTTTCACACATCAAATGTAAATGTAACAGAAGAAGCTACCTTCCCTTTTTACAGGAGCAAGGGGAATACGACACAGTTAAGGTTTCTAGTGTCTTCTCATTCAGAGCACCCATCTCAGATACCACATTTCCAGTTTTCAGAAACTCTGATTAGAGTAAGAGCTCAATGAAATATTCTGTAACTACAAACAAGAAAGAAGAAACCACAAAGAAGAAATTTGTAATAAAATTCAGTTATTTGGTTTATAAAAATGGAACACTTCTGGGATCTTGGTTTCTGGTGGTTTCATTGTTCTTTTTCTCTTAACTTCAGCTTAGCTATGCTATATGTACAGTCAGAAAACTTACAAGCATGCAGCTGAATGTCAGCTGTAACTCCATTATTGCTTCCAATTTGAAAGACCTGACCCTAGCATTTCACCTTTGTGCACTGAGAGGGTCTTAACAATAACTAAGCCACAACGTTTCTACAGCAAGTAAAAAGCTAGACAAACTGCTCTGAAATAAAAATCTCCACTCTTCTTTCTCCTCTCCCAAATGCTTTGAAAGCATTAGCCCCTTGGGCACAACAACGAGAAGACAAGCTGGAAGCTGGCACTGCAGCCAGCACATGTTCATTAAAGCTTCTGGGCATCCAATATCCATATCTTTGAAAACAATTAAACCGACCACAGTTGAGACCAGAGAAGGATGCTGGTGGATAGATGGAGAGAATGGCTCTGTGCTTACCCCGCTAGCTGTCCTTATAGGCTTGGCCTTCAGCTTTGGCACCAGAGCCTTGCGGTGCTGTGGTGGGACAGCAGCAATAATGTCAACCAACCGTGGCTGTGCTGAGAGTCCATACTTTGCTGAGGTCTTGGTTTTCAGCCTGAAAGCAAAAATGCCTTGCATTAATGACCCCATTCAGACTTATGTATCTCCATTCCACAGCATTACTGTTCTGTTTGTTGGAGACAGGTGGGCTCACCCAGTTTGCCTTTAAAGCTGAGTGTAATTCCTTGCAACTGCTGCGCTGTGTATTTAAGTTACAGAAAATAAACTCCAAAGAAAGTTGACATAGGACATTGGGACAACATTTGATTACTTTACATATTTTAGTATTCTACATACATAACGAAGAAAGATTTCTTTAAACAGCAACTTCACTGCTAAGAAAGCTTGATTTAAACTTTATCTAAAAAGTAATGTGTCTTCCCTGGTAGAACTGGCTTTGGAATTGGTAAGATTGAACACAGGTGGAAACACCAAAAGGCAACAACACGTTTCTTAGTGCTTTTCAACAGTGCAATACTGGACAATGCCCTCATTAGTAAGCTATAACTTTTGGCTAGCCATGGTGCAATCAGGCAGATGGACCAGATGATCTCAGAATGCCCCTTCCAACTGAGATAATCTATTTTAATACAACTCATGTGGCACTCTGGGCACTACCAATGAATAAGCAATGCATGATTTCAAGTCACGATAATAATTAGCAGATCTCAGTATCTTTATCATCAGATACTGGCAAAAGAAGCGAGACTATCCTATGAAAAGAAAGAAATGGACCTGTTAGAGGACATCCAGAGGCCACAGAAAGGATCCCAGGGATGGAACACCTCTGCTACAAGGTTGAGAGAACTGGGGCTGTGCAGCCTGGAGGAGAGAAGGCTAAGGGAAGACCTGAGAGCAGCTTTTTTCTACTTAAAGGGGGCTGTGAAAAGGACAGGAACAAACTCTTTAGCAGGGTCTGCTGTGATAGGACAAGTGGAAATGGTTTTAAATTAAAAGAGGAGTAATTTAGACTGGATATAAGGAAAATGTTTTTTTACAGTTAGGGTGATGAGGCACTGGCACAGGTCGTCCTGAGAGGCGGTTGTGCCCCATCCTTGGAGACATTAAAGATCAGGCTGGATGGGGCTCTGAGCACTGACAGAGCTGTGGGTGTCCCTGTTCAGTGCAGAGAGTGGGACCCGACAGCCTTTAAGTGTCCCTCCCAACTCAAATGATTCTATCAAAATAAAACACCATAAAAACAATACTGAACATAAATGACTGCACAGGAAATGTTCAACACTTATGAACCTGCTCTTCGGTGTCTTACTTGTGACTTACTTGTTCAGATTCACATCTTTTCCTTGCTCATGAGCCTCAATTAACTGTTTTATGATGTCAGCTATTGTCATCATCATCAGCTCTGCATGGCTGAGATCTGAAATGAGAACAAGATAAACAATGATGCGGATACCCATTGATGCTCCAGGACAAATTCCACCCATTGATGCTCCAGGACAAATTCCACCCATTGATGCTCCAGGACAAATTCCACCTTGGGGGTCACCTCTTCTCACATGTAACAGCAATAGGACAAGGGGTGATGGCCTCAAGTTGTACCAGGGGAGATTCGTGCTGGGTATTAGGAAGAAACTGCTTGGCAAGAACAGTGATGCAGTGGCACAGGCTGCACAGGGAGCTGATGGAGTTGCTGTCCCTGGAGGAACAGATGTGGCACTGAAAGATGTGATCAGTGGGCATAGGGGGATGGCTGGCATTGGATTTGGTGATCGTAGAATCATATCATAGAATGGCCTGGGTTGAAAAGGACCACAATGCTCATCCAGTTCCAACCCCTGCTATGTGCAGGGTCACCAACCAGCAGACCAGGCTGCCCAGAGCCACATCCAGACTGGCCTTGAATGCCTGCAGGGATGGGGCATCCACAGCCTCCTTGGGCAACCTGTTCCAGTGCCTCACCACCCCCTGTGTGATCTCACAGCCTTTTCCAAGCAGGATGATCCCCTGCCTCAAAGCCCACCAGCAGACGGCTGTGATAACGCAGCAGACGCGGCAAGGCGTGCACACCACACGGTGACGCATGCAACGCGAAGGGCTCGGCTCGGCCATCAGCTCCTGAAAGCTTCCCAACCCCATCCAGCCCGGCCTTGAGCACTGCCCTGCCACACGCACACAGGGCCCAGGCCTTGCACGGCCCCTCCCGCCCGGTACCTTTCCGCTTCTGCCCCATCCCGCCGCCTCCGCTCCCTCACGGCTCACACACGGACCACTACCGTAAAGCTACGCCGCCTGTCGTAAAAGCGTCGCGCTGCCGGAAAGCGACGGAAAGCCATCGGGGAAGAAGGAGAAGTGAGCTGCGCATGCCTAGAGATCTACGCGGTAACTCCGCCAGCCGCCAGGGGGCGCTGTGGCAGGACGGGGGTGCGGCAGAGCCCAGAAGTGAGCGGTGGGGCGTTCAGTCATTTCTGATTGGGGTTCCTTGATTGTAGCTGTTTTGTTTGTACTTCGCTGGGATTTTGTGGCATTTGATTGGATTTGATTGACTTTTACCGGTTTTTTGTTAACATTTTACAGGGCTGTCTTGATATTTTGTTGGGGCTTTTTTGGCTTAAAGCGTTTTTCTTGATGTTTTACAGGGCTTTGTAGACTTTTGCTGGGCATTATTGCTATCTCACAGAGTTCTCCTGATATTTTATTGGGACGTATTGATTCTTACTGTTTTTGTGTTTGGGTTTTCATGTTTTACTATTTATAACCGTTTTTAGTAATATTTTTCTGTTAGCATTGATAATTTTCAGGATTCTGTTGATGTTTTGCTGTTACTTTTATTGATATTTCATTGGGTTTTCTTGATCTCCTATTGAGTTGTGTCACTTTTATAATATTTTTAATTGATACTTGACAGGGATTTGACTTCTACATGGTTTTGTTGATTAATTTTAACTGTATCTATTGGTATTTTACTGTTTTTCGCAATATTTTACAATTTCTGTTGATATTTTACTGGATTTTCTTCTTGTTTCATTGAATTTTATTGTCATTCTTACTGTTTTTCTTGTTATTTTAGGGGATTTCTTGATCATTTATTGAGTTTTGTCATTTGTTGCTGCTTTTATTCTTTGTAGGCCTTTCATTTGCACTGGGTTTTGTTTGTATTTTGTTGTTTTGTTGAATTGTTACCTCTTTTTTCACACCTGGAGGCTGGTGAGGCACTGGAACAGGTTGCCCAAGGAGGCTGTGGATGCCCCATCCCTGCAGGCATTCAAGGCCAGGCTGGATGTGGCTCTGGGCAGCCTGGTCTGCTGGTTGGTGACCTGCACATAGCAGGGGGTTGGAACTGGATGAGCATTGTGGTCCTTTTCAACCCAGGCCATTCTATGATTCAGGACCTGCATGGCTCCAGGAGGCCCCAGACCACCAGACCCCACTCACACCAGGAGCTGAGCCCAGGCTCCCCCCCAGCCCTTCTCCCCTCCAGCGCTAGATGGTAGCAGAGCATTTACATAAAATCCAAAAAAATCCTCCAAGCTCCTGATGGAAAGCTCCAAATCTGAGAGGAAGGAGCGATGAGGAGGAGCTGCCTGCGCTGTTCCCAGAGATCACACTGAAGGCTCTGTGGGAAGGGCCCTGCTCAGCCTGGGATGGATTTGGGGGCCGGAGCCCTGCTGGGGCCTCTTGCAGCCCAAATCCTCCTACATGCTCCTATGAAATGTGCTCAAAATCATACACTCACAAAAATGGTTTGGGTTGGAAGTGACCTTTAATGGCCATGTGGTCCAACTCCATGCAATGAGCAGGGACACCCACAGCTCATCAGTGCTCAGAGCCCATCCAGACTCATCTTCAGTGTCTCCAAGGATGGGGCACCGTCTGGGCAACCTGTGCTACTGCCTCACAACTCTGTGTAAAGAACTTAGATCCAATCTAGATCTCTTTTCTTTTAGTTCAAAACCATTTCCTCTTGTCCTGTCACAACAGATCCTCCTAAAGAATCTGTCCCCTTCTTTCCTAGAGTTCCTATATAGTTCTAATGCAATGCTTTGTGACCATGATGGGCTTCTGTCTATTTGAGGTCCCACTGAGGACCAGTTTCCCCCACTGGAGTCCAAGGACACCTCCCCACATTGTCAGCACTGTCAGTGCTCCCCACGACTGGTGCTAGATGAAGCCAGGTGAGCTCTAAGCACCACTTTCTTTTTGTATGGGTAATAAGATGGGCAGCCCTATGCCTCTGCCCACAGCTCTGATTTAACATGAAATCCTTCCAGGAACCCCCAGTAATTCCTCGAACCCACATGAGCTTCCACATCTACAACTATTTGAGGCAAGGAGTTCCACAGCTGTCTTGCTTGTGAGTCTACCAAAGAGTCCCAAAGTGGATTGGGTCAAAAGGAACCTTAAAGCCCACCCAGCCCCGACCCCTGCCCAACATTTCCTACCAGCCCAGGCTGCCTGAAGACCCATCCAGCCTGGCCTTGGGCAGTGCCAAGGATGGAGCACCCACAGCTTCAGCTAGTCCAAGTCGATCACCACTGGTTACAGGACATCTATCCAGTCATGCATCTCCTGTCATCATCTTTCCCAAACCTACTGCAGCAGCTTCTGTGCAGCAAAGGACATTTCAGATGTGAAAACGCTATGAAGGGTTGTCATGAAAGCAATTCCTTCCTAAAAATTACTTGGTGGTGCACACACTACAGCATTTATCTGAGACAGCATAGGATGTCTCTTGTTCAGGAGGCCATGAACACACAACAGGTAGGATGTCTGTGCTATACAAACAGTAAGGTGATCAGCTTAAGCATGCTGGCAGGGAGAAGGGTATTGATTTCAAGCTGATTCTCGTGGTCTTCTCCCTTCCCTTAGCTCACAGAGCCACCAGCACAACTCCAGCTACTCACCTGCCCATCCCCTTGTTGCATGGAAGGACAAGGGTAATGGTTTTAAACTAAAAGAGAAGAGATTTAGGTTAGTTGTTAGGGGGAAATGTTTCACCCAGAAGGTGGTAAGGCAGTGGCACAGAAAAGCTGTGGATGACTTGTCCCTGGAGGTGTGTGAGGCCAGGCTGGATGGGGTCCTGGGCAGCCTGAGCTGGTAGGGGGCAACCAGCCCATGGCAGTGGTTGGGACTGGGTGGGCTTTAAGCTCCCTTCCAATCCTACCATTCTGTGATTCTATGATACGTGAAAGGAGCTGCGTTCTCCATCTGTTATCAGCTTCATCCACCTATACAGCAACTTTTTATCATGCACTTACCTGCTATCATCAGCTGCTTTCCATTTGCCCTGAGGTCTCCACACTTTCTGTAGCCATCTCTAGTCTGTTAGAGTCCTATTGCTGCTGCTGAGGCTCAGCTGTCTGGTCACGTTCACTTATCTTCAGCTTTGGGGCTAGCACACTAATTGGATATTTCCAAAAGTCCTGTTTTGATCTGACTGTGCTCCCACCTGCAGCTCCTATCACCTTCAGCTGCACATATTCCTTCTCCCAAACAAAGCTGTTTCTTTAGCTCGGAAGAGTAAAAATTAGGAAAGGTTTGTTTTGGCTACAAAGCCAAACTACAGTACCAAATGCTGCCATTGCTTCCAGCAAGGAGCATGAGGTAAATTCAGGTGGAGTTTTTGGCAGAAATGGATAGTAAACCTTGGGTGAGAAGAGGCTGGCGTGTTTGGGTTTGTTCCCCACATCTGAGCAGGGCCTAGGGCTCACATTCTGATCTTGCTTGTACTGGTGGAATTCAACGCTGATTCATTGGCCTCTAGGGTTTAAAAGGTACTTACAATTCTTTAATCAAACACTGTGGCTAATCAGAGTGGTACCGGATCTGGAAATACCAATCAGTGCAGGGAAATGTGCATCTGCAAGGAACGACACAGGCAATACAGCTTTCCTCTGTTCTTGTTTAGCAATTCCTTATCAGTGTATCTTGAAACACATTATAAAGGGGGTAAATACCATCTGCCTGTGCAGATCTGCAGCCCAGGGCACGGAAGGTGATAGGGCTGCCTGAAGCCAGGCAGCAGCACAGCCACACAGGCAGGTGGAGAACACTTACTCTTTTCTGTTCATTTCAGAGTCTGACCTATTCTTCAGAAATGTTTGTAAAGTGTGAGTGTGTTGTAAGTACATACATTTTATCCTAATACCACAGAGTATCTTGAGTTGGAAGGGACCCATAAGGATCACAGAGTCCAAATCCATAATTGGTAGAAGTTATATCCAGGCTTCATACAGGTCTGCTGTTACTCCAGGGATGGACCACTTGGCTTGGCAGTTTCCTGGAGAATGTTACTCTTAGTTATTTTACAATATCATAAATATAAAAGTGTTATAAATTGGAGAAGCCTGAGCTTATATTGAGCATCTGAGATGCACGATTTGCTGCAGCAATGCTTGAGAGCATTCAGCTCCAAGACTTGCCAGACCTTGGGAACATTACGTTTCCAATGAGTGTGCTCACTGGTGAGAAAAGAAACACCATTGATGGAGGTTTACATCATTTCCTTGCATGGCCATTTGCTGTTTGTAACAAAGCACTGAACTGCTGCCCCAGGAAACTTCACAGTGCCTGAGACAAAAAGGGAGCTGGCATTACCATTTAGCCTTAAGAAGCCATAAACATCTGTGAAGCAGTCTTTAACTTGGGTTTCTGTGGGAAAAGACTTGTTGGGAGAGATCTGCAATACCAGCAAATGGCTGGCGAATGCTTTGGGTGGGAATTACCCCACCTAATTTCACATACCCAAAAGTTAGCTGTCTTATCTAAGTTAGTCACTCTGGTCTCTTGCATAATTGATGATATAAGAGCTGTCTGCCACCTGCATGTTCATATTGCAGCTAATTTCACCTCATTTCTGAGGTGAAGAGCTTAAACTGAGCAAGCTCTTAGGCTGTTGTTTTGAGATGAAATCCCTCTTCCAAGCACACGGGGCAACTAGAAACACAAAATAACATCAGGGGGAGAGAGATGTGCTAAATTAGCCAATCTGTGACTGAGGTTTTCAATCAAGTGCCTTGATGGGCAGATTCTGTGCCTTCCATTAAAACCTATGGTGTGGTGTGCTTGGTCTTGACAGTGGTCATTGTCTCCTGTGCCAAAAGACTTGAAACCCTCAAGTGACACAGTACGGGATAATCTGTTCACAGAGTGGAAGTCTTCTTCTAATCCTTATCACAAAGTGGCTGGTGTTTTCTCTGAGACATGATTTCTAGTCTATAAATGCTGAGAATTCATGGGGATGCTGTGGCCCTTCCTAATGTGTGCAGAGTTTCAGTTTTATTTCAGCTCTGTATGGGTTATAAGGCAGTAAGTTACAGTTGCTATGCATTTGGTCCCCCTATTATTAAAAACTGCTATTTGCTACATTTCCTTAATTGTGGAAAATGATGCCATAAATAATGAAACCAGTGCCAGTTCCCCACGCATTGCCTTGTGCAATGCTGTAATCCAGAGGGTGGGATTTGATTTCATTCTCACTAACATGATTGAAATGATGGACTTGCCTTGTACAGCATGAGAAACAATTTCTGACTTCAGTACAGCACTAAGTAGCCTTTTCCTCATTTTCCCCAAGCTTCCTTTCTCTCACATATTGAAGGCTTTTTCCTTGGATGCTGTGGTGCTTTCTTCAGTCCAGATGATTTGGTAGGTGCTGCAGGTTACAACTAAAGGAGCACATTAATATTGGTTGTAAATCACTCTGTCAGGGGATACAGTTTACATCAGCCAGGTGACCAGTAGTGGCCAGTAGTCTTCACTTGTCCTCCACAATCCCCTCACTGCCCACAGTTTCTGCAATTCATTGTGAGAGCAACATAAAGCAGCTCAGGCCATAGGATGTGCCCCACGATGTCCCAGTGACACAGGCAAGCTTAGTGTCCAGTAGCTGCAGTAGGCACTTGCAAAAGGGTTATCAAAGGCCTAAGTGAATTCTGCAGAAACAACATACCCCAAAGAAAATGAGAATTATAGCACCAGCAACACGAAGCCAGGGTGAAAAGCACATCAGGTAAACATTTGACTTTGCTGCAGCTTGGAACAGGAGACCTAAAGGCAGGCAGGAGGCATCGCATCAACTGCTGCAGTTCCAAAAAAGTACAAAGCATCAAAACTGGCAGCAAGGCAGTCAAGTTTTCTTTTGGAGAGATAAGTGAGAATGAATGTAGGACCTGCATGCCTATTTATTTGCGTGGTATAGTGAGGTAATGAAAGTCTATAACTCAGGCAACACTGATGTTGTCTCCCCCATCCAGGCAGGTAAGCTTCTGTTCCATTGAGACAGATGCTTCAGATCCTTCCTTAGCCTGTACCAGATCATTATTTGAGGGAGGAATGAGCCCAGGCTGAGCCTCACATTGTGGAGAGCCTAGATGAAGGAGAAAAAACATCAGAATCGGTCATTAATTTAGCCAGACATTTCAGATTTTAAACATATTTAAGTACATAATCCAAACCTTGGGATTTTATTTGCATTTAATATCTCAAATACTTCTACAAATCTAGATTGAATGGACTGTTTTCCTTTGTCATCTCATTACAGAGAAAATAATCACATTGAAACATCTTTACTTTTCCTGCCTGCCTTTCTGACAACCTGCAAATGGGAGAACCTCCTCACATAAAGCATTGACCAAGTCTGGGACAAGGAGTGGACCAGCCACATCTAGGCTCCTTATCTCTGTGGTTCAAGGAGTTGAGAAAGCAAGAGGTTGCACTCTGAACTTTGTGACTCAAGGGAAGGGTCTCCTGTACGTGTGTTTAACTCCTCCCTCTGTGCAGTCAGTAATCAAGTGTATCCAGCCATCTCAAATCTTGTTGCTATTAAATCACTATATTGTATCTATATTATATCAGTAAATATATTCCTGCTTCTCCCTTACCAGAGAAGTGTAAAACGTAGCCGTTTCTATCTGCAACAAGTATTGCCTAACAAATTATTTGTAATTCAAATGCAATCCCTCAGGCTCATTTACCTCAGTAGTTACTACACTACAGCAATAGTGTTTATAGGGAGCTTGCATTTTTGCCTGCTTCCTGCTGCCCAAAGCCCTTCCCTCATGCACAGTTTTAACACTTCTTATCACGTAGAAGACACAGAGATCAGGCTGGATGCTGCACATCCCTACATGCACCATTCTCCACTCTTCTGGAATCCTTAAGAATAACTGGGTAGCCACATCCATGCAGAAGTTCCCCATATTTCATGCCCCACATCCTTTCTGACAACAATAAACCACATCTTAGTTGTAGATTGGTTCCCAGATGTAAGAGATACTTCTCAGTACATCCTGGACTGCAGGGTAGAAGCCAGTGACAGCCAAGGCCCAGATCTATGCTTAGCTCTTCTTAACTAGGCTCCAGTCCTGCATGAAGCCTTCCTAAGGCTCTGCTCATGCAGTACTACTTCAGGATGAGGACCCTAGTTAATATGAGTGTTGTATTGCTGCAGAAGCTTCATATGAAGGACTTCAACCCTCTAGCCTAAGCTTTATGAGTTCTTCCCTATATGGAGATGCTGGGTATATTGAAAGATGAGGTCTCAGTAAATAACTGCCCAAGGCATCCCTAGACTGAAATGGCATGAAACTGGTTTTGACAGTGTGAGTGTGCCTCCTTATTTTTGGAAGGCCTTCATAGGCCAGCTGCATTCTCAGCTGTTGTGCCCCTGGAGTTGACTGCTTTATCCCCTGATTTTCTAAATGCTCAGTACCAGTTCTTTCTGGCATCTATCCAGGGCATGGCAGAGTTCATGGACTCTGTACTGAGCTCACTGCCATTGATGCTGTAAGATCTCTTGCTCTGTTACTGAATATCAGGGAATTAAACTAGTGTGAAGCCCATGACAGTGTTCAACACCAAGATGACAGTCATGACAGCCAGTTAAGTCTGGCAAGTGCTAGATATCACAAAATCATACTATCTTTTGAGTTGGAAGGGAGCTTTAAGGGTCATCTAGTCCAACTCCTCTGCATTAAACAGGGATACCAGTAAACAGCTCACTTAGGTGCCCTATCCATCCTGACCCTGAGTGTCTCCAGGGATGGAGCACCCAGTGCCTCTTTGGACAAACTTTGCCAGTGCTTTGCTATCCTCACTGTAAAAATATTTTCCTTATATCTAGTCTAAATCTCCCTCTATTAGCTTAAAACCATTTCTCCCTGTTCTATCATAACATACCCTGCTAAAGAGCCTGTTCCCTTTCATACAGCCCCCCTTTAGAAAACGAAAGGCCACTCTCATGTCTCCCTGAAGCCTTCATTTCTCCAGGCTGAAGAGCCCAAGCTCTCTCAAGGTGTCCTCATAGGAGAGGTGTTCCATGCCTGTGATCATTGTAGGGGCCCTCCTCTGGATGCACTCCAGAGGTTCACATCTCTCCTGTAATGAGGATTCCACATGTAGATGCAGTGAGGTCTCACCAGCACAGCACACAGGGGCAGAATCCTCTCCCTCACCCTGCTGGCTGTGCTGCCTTGGATGCAGCCCATTATATGATTGGCGTTTTGGTCTGCAAGGGCAGAATGCTGGCTCATCCCAGCTGCCATCCACCAATATCAGTAAGTCCTCTTTGGCAGAGCTGTGCTCTATCCCTTCATCCTCCAGCTTGTACTGATAGTGGGGACTGCCACAACACAGGTGCAAGACCTGGATCGAATGTGTACTGCATGATGTATAATGATGTATATTTTCTAGTGAGGCAGCGAATTGCCATCATCTGGATTCCCACCATTCAGAACGACTGCCTTCTCCTTCACGTATGGATATACCTCCACAGCTCTATCTTCTTCCCTCTGTGCACAAAATCTGAGTATTATCAACCTCTGCAATAGCTTTCACAGAGCACAGATAGTATACTGACATGGAGACATGGTGGTCATCTCTGTGAAGTCTTTCTTTTCTCTTGCACGTGGTTTTGGCACTGGAGCTCGAACAGGTGCTGGTCGTATCCCAGCATTGAACTGGGAGCTCTGGGCGAGGTTCTTTGCTGCTTCTCTGTAAGGTAAGTTCCCAATTGGCTGGGAAGTGGCCCAGCTGGGGCGAGATGGTCGTTTTTGAGTTGACCCAAGATCTTCAGTAAGTGACAGCTACAAAAGAAGAAAGTAAGTAGCTTAACAGAGGGGCTGAAAACGTTAGAGTCTGTTGAAAACTTTAAACTCTAAATGATACTCATAATGATGATACAAGCATAACATTGTTGTGACTTGTGCTCTTATCTAAGTTTACCTTAAGTACAAAAGGATCCATTTAGAAATTGATGCAATAAAGCCAAACCTACATTAATTAATTCTCCAGATCGACTCCTTTCTTAACGCACGAATTCTCCCCTGTGCTTATGGCTGTAACTAATCCCAGTCTTGCTGTTTGAAGTCCCACAGTGGAAAGGATGAAGTTTATTTTAACATGCTGCTCAATGAATGTTTCACTAAACACTATAAAAGTTAAGCAAAAAAAAAAAAAAAGAATCTTAGCAATGTAGTGATTTTTTCATTGAAAAAGAGTCCAAATATTGAAAAACACAGTTGAGCAGACCAACAGCTTTGGCTTTTTAGAACTGATACAAATTATTTAGTACTAATAGTGAACCAACATCAACAAAATCAAACATTTACACTGAAACTCATTAGAAAGCAATATCTTCTGTTGTGCAGAATTGAGTGTCCACAGCAAAATGGTTTTAAAATGGAAAAGTTTTGCAGTTCCTGCCCACCTGGTTCCCCTTTCCATTGTTTGGATTGGCAGCAGCAGCAATATATGGTGCTTCGTACCTAACTGTCTGACAATAAATAAGCAATCCAGCAACTTTTGGATATCAGCCAGAAGAAAGAGAGGTGATTATACAAGTGGCTAAAGTGGCCCCAGTTCTCTGCAGTACTTAATGTGTAACAGAGACAGTGTGATACAAATTGGTGCAGTTTTTCTGTCCTAGTGAGAAAAGCACAATACCAAAGAAGCAGTAGCAGCTGCAGCACAGATCTGCCTTTACCTTGCTTTTGAGCTCTTGTGTCCTGGGTGGTTCTGTTTTAGAGTTAAAAGGACAAAGAGTACCAGGCCATGCCTTCAAATTAGAATGACACATATAAACTGAGTTTCAATTTCCAAAATATTTTCACACTCAGGAGTAGTCACAAGTGGTTCAACAGGATTTCTTGGATGAATTAATAACATTTGAAATGAGATTTGCAGAATATAGGTAACGTAAATATACACTGGACAGGACTTTGTCACAGTGCCAAAAGCCCTGGATCTTCATGTGTGATATACCCACATAGTATATACATGGGATCCATTCTCCAAACACCAATTCCCTGTGTATCTGTCATCAGATAATTTATTCCTTACTTCAGATGCTGCAATCTTACTACGTTAGGCAGTGAGGCAAGAATGACTGATCCTGTCAAAAAGATGTTATTTTGTAAGCACTAAAAATAAGTCAGTAATTCAAGAACAGCTGGGAGGGTGGAGCAGTCTCCCAAACAGAAACAAGCAGGCAGCCTGAAAGGCAAAACCAGCCTCTAATTGCTGACATTGCAGTCATTTGCAAAGCTGTCAAAAGCATCAATATGATGGATTTTTACCTTTCTAATAAAGTATCCGTGCTTTTTGACATCTAGGGAGGATTTGGCATGATGCTTCCTATTCTGCTGAAAGCTGCACAAAACTCCTTATTGGAAGTCCTCCAAGGAGGAGCCCCTCACTGTGTAAAGGACACCGATGTGGCACCACTGTCACCTGCTAGGGGACCTGTAGGGTCAGAGCTGGGGAATCACAGCAGGGCAGCACAGCTCCACATCGGAAAGAACAGGAGGGATGAAACAGTGGCCTAAAACAAGGGGATCTGGTTTCCATGCCCAGCCTGCCAAAAGCTCAGCTGAGTCACTGAGCCTTTCTTCACTTTGCTTTGTACAAGAGTGGGGCAGTAGCTGCTCAAGGTGGTGAAGACAAGCCACAAAGCCTTGATCCAGCAAAGTGCTGAAAGAGATGATTAACAATGAAACTCTACTTGTCTTTAGTGTAAGGCATTTCCCTTCATAAAGATAGAGCAGGCATTCCCATCCCACTGTAGAGATACAGTGGTTGCACGCATACTCATAAGAAGGAAAGCAGCCCTTAGTTCGGAGACCTAATTAACTTAATTTATTGTAACACATTATTTAAAGTAATTTAGATAATTCACTTTAATTTATTGTAAATTAAGTGTAAGCCTGGTCACATTCTATGCTACTACTTCCATGATTACTAATAAACTCCAAAACACCACAAGTTTACGAGGAGGAGACCTGATTCACCCCATGCAAAACTGGAGCCGTCGGATTCAGGTCATCACTTTAATTACATGTTCCTTCTGTTTTGGTGTGTTGCTGTTCAGCCTCCTGAGCTCAGAGCTCTGTATAATGGCCCTTTTCACATCTTCATTGTTGGCTGTAATATACTTTATTCTCATCTGCTTTCTACACTTGAATCATTGATCTATTTAAGAGCTTCACTTTAATTTGACTTGATGTTTGCATGCTTGAGGCACTTATTCTTTCATCATATTCTGTTCTTCTTCCAAGGATTTACTAAAAGGTTTGAATATTAAGCTTCTTTATTTGGAATTGATTAAGTAAGAGTCTTTTCACAGGTCTTAATTTCAACAAGATTTCCCTAATAATAAATGGAAATTAATTCTGGATGATTCCTAGTGAGCTATATATTCTTTATTCTATGCATTAGCCTTTTGTAACCTAACTTTTGTTGTCATCTAGCTCATTAATGGTCAGTGAAACAGCAGGATTATACACTGCAATACCAAAAGAGGATGAGAAACACAGCTCTTCTGCTGAAATTTGCTCGAGAGAAATACAAGTCAATTTTCAATGTAAAGGTCTAGGAAAGAGGGACACAGCATGGACTGCCCCAGATTTTAACACAAAAAGACGATAGTGCTACCAAGACTGCATAACATGAACACATGAAGATCTGTTCTGGGCTAATGTCACAGAGCTGTGACCACTAGAGCTATAGGATGCTTACCCCTGGGTTAGGCTGTCCTACCTGCCTATGAGGCACTGAGAGAGGATGGTGGATCTGGCAGGCCTTGACAGCATGCAGTGGCTTTAAGAATCTTCCCAGAACTTTTTGTGGGCAGAGAATGGCAGACCCCTATTTAATGTCAGCTAAACGCTTTCTGGTGACTATTTACTATGGGAAGAATAATGTCTCTAAAGCTACTGGGGGATCAGGCCTAGCCAGCATAGGTTCACGAAGGGCAGGTCCTGCTTGACCAACCTGATCTTCTATGACCTAGTGACCCATCTGGTTGACAAGGGAAAGGCTGTTGATGTAGTCTGCTTAGACTTCAGCAAAGCCTTTGACACTGTCTCCCACAGCATTCTCCTGCAGAAGCTGGCAGCCCGTGGCTTGGACAGGTGCACTCTTGGGTAAGGAACTGGCTGGAAGGGCCCAAAGCGTGGAAGTGAATGGAGCTAAATCTGGCTGGCAACAGGTCACGAGTGGTGTTCCCCAGGGGTCGGTGCTGGGGCCTGTCCTCTTCAGTATCTTTATTGATGACCTGGATGAGGGCATTGAGTGCACTCTCAATAAGTTTGTGAATGACACCAAGTTTGTTGCAAGTGCTGATCTGCCTGGGGGTAGCGAGGCCCTACAGAGGGATCTGGACAGGCTGGAGAGCTGGGCTGAAGCCAATGGGAAGAGGTTCAACAAGGCCAAATGCCGGGTCCTGTAATTTGGCCACAACAACCCCAGGCAACGCTACAGGCTTGGAGTGGAGTGGCTGGAAGGCTGTGTAGAGGAAATGGACCTGGGGTATTAATCACAGAATCATAGGGGTTGGAAGGGACCTCCAGAGATCGAGTCCAACCCCCCTGCCAAAGCAGGTTCCCTACACCAGGTCGCACAGGTAGGTGTCCAGGCGGGTCTTGAATATCTCCAGAGAAGGAGACTCCACCACCTCCCTGGGCAGCCTGTTCCAGTGCTCCGTCACCCTCACTGTAAAGAAGTTCTTGTGCACATTTGTGTGGAACTTCCTATGCTGCAGTTTCTGGCTGTTTCCCCTTGTCCTGTCTCCACACACTATGGAAAAGAGTCTGGCCTTGCCACTCTGCTCCCCACACCCTAGATATTTATAGACCTGGATCAGGTCCCCTCTCAGTCTTCTTTTCTCAAGGCTAAACAGACCCAGTTCACTTAGCCTTTCTTCATAGGGGAGATGCTCCAGGCCTTTCACCATTTTTGTGGCCCTGCGCTGGACTCTTCCCAAGAGATCCCTGTATTGGGGAGCCCAGAACTGGACACAGTATTCCAGATGAGGCAGAGTAGAAGGGGGAAGATCACCTCCCTCAACCTGCTGG